ACAAGCAATAGTTAAGGATCCTGCAGGTACACAATGAATAAGATATTAAACATATTGGGTAATTTTATTAATTTCTCTGCTCATTAATCCAGTCATACCATTTTTAAATCAACACTAATTTACAGAACCACAAGAAATTTTGGTTTTTATTACCTGGTGGTGCCACAAAATATTCTTCAACTGTGCTTTTTGAGAGCTGAAGCAGTTTTTCAGCACAGTCACCCTCCATCACAGCATCCTCCCTCAGGTACAAAACCCTGATTGTGCAGGGATAAAACACAATGAGACGACAAAAATGTGCTTCATTCAATTTTAACTGCATTTTCCCATCTCAACTAAGGCTTGGACATAAGAAAAAACAGCAACTACATTTACATTTATCTTGATATTCACATTAATACAGAATATAATACCATGTATGAACACCTCAATCATAAACACCAGGCACAGATTCAAATATCATTTGGTTTCAGTGTAGTGGTGTAAACGTAAACCCCTCTCCCCCCAAAAAACAATTGAAAAAGAAGCTGAATTCTTTTCATCTGTGCATTCCCCACTGCTCTGCATTCCTTCTCTACAGTCATGTCCTAAACGTGTGGGGATATACGCTTCTGCACTTTCCAAAAAGCATCAAAATGACATCAATTACTGCAGTGAAATGTCAATGCATACCACATATGGACAAAAGTACTGTGCTACCTACACTTCATGCTTCTTTGCAATTATAAACCAATGCCATAAAGCTCCTGGATCACAGTTTTTGTGCTGATGTTAATGCCAGAGCAGGTTTGGAGCACTGCAGTTACAGCCTCATTTTACTTTTAACTCTCCATACCATTCGCAGTGGGTTGTGGAATAGATTGACTGAGATGTAAGACTGAGCAAGACCAATGCATCAAACTGTCACTGATTAGGTCCATCTGCTCATGGAAACACTATAACATATTGAATCAGATTACATTTGAATATCTTAGCCATAATCTTTAATCTGCATTGAAGCTAATACGTGCAAGTGAACACAGCCATTAATTTCTTGACAGGTGTATACCTGACATCAACCCCAGCCATACCTGTCCTCCAGAACTGAATCCATCGGTTCAACCCCTGTTGTGTCAACGACATGAAGCTGGTCTGCAAACCGTATGGCTTTTTCCAAACAGGCCAGTCCCTGTTTGGTGCGAAAATCCACCAAAGCCAGTCGCTCCAGTTTGTCCACCAGGTCAGCAGGGATATGGGCAGGCTGTTAGATAAATGGTCTATTGCTTAGAAATGTATGGGTGACAGCTTACTTCAGCCATCACTAAAATATGCCCAGTACTCTACATAATCATTGAATAAAGTCCTCAATCATTTATTCTCAGCCAACTTTAATGACCAAGTTTTTTCATCAAGTTATTTTCCTCTTTGAAGAGTTTAGCTGTCTGTCACTGCTACACAGCTTTATCATATCCACGCTAATTTTGTATGACATTGTTTTGATGTCATACAAAACCCTAAACCCTCATGGCAACAAATAACTCACTGAAAAAAAATTGGTGGGATCTGCCCACTATCAACTAAACTGACATTAGCGAGGTGTTCAATGGCCAGTATCCTAAAGATGAATGACTGAAATCTGTCAGCTAAATATCTAACATCTACTGTGAATTTCCAGACATTCAGTCATGACTGTACTGTGCTGTGCTGTGTTAAGGGGATTACCGGAGGAAGCTGGTCCTCTGGTACTGGTTCCCATGTTGCCACCTTTGGTATCTGTAGAAGAGACAACCTGGTAACAAGACTGAGCCACTGATGAATAGTAGATGCTGCTATTGGATATAGTGAGGGTAGCAAAAACTAAGTACATTTACTCAAATGCTGTAATAAAGTAGTTTCTGAGATAACTGTACTTTATACCCCCACTTTCAGGGGTAAATGTAACATTTTTAATATTTATGTTGACATCTCTAGTTATTAGTTACTTTTAGTATGAAAAGGCAAGGCAGACCCTGTGACCCTCCTCATATGAAGACACTACATTTAGAATTTTCTGTGTGTAAATGAGAGGGAGACAGGTGTACCAGTGAAGCTGCAAGAAGCAGAGGTAGTGAAGGTAGATGTGTTTAAACACCTGGGGTCAACCAAAACAACGGACAGTGCACAAGTGGCAGGTGAAGAAGAGAGTGCAGGCCAGGTGAAGTGGGTGGAGACGAGTGTCAGGGGTAATTTGTGACAGGACAGCAGCAAGAGTGAAAGGGAAGCTCCTGTGATGTATGGTTTGTAGATGTTGGCACTGACAAAAAGTCAGGAGCTCAAGCTGGAGGTAGCAGAGTAGATGATGTTAAGATTATGTTAGGACCAAGATGAGCAGGATTAGAAATGAGTACAGCTGAGGTTGAGCAGTTTGGAGACCAAGTCACAGATGCAATGCTGAGATGGTTTGGACATGTACAGAGAAGAGATAGTGGATAAACTGGACACAGGATGTTGAATAAAAAAAGGGTAACACTACAGAGAAGGTTCACAGATACACTGAAAGAGAACATACAGAGGTTTGGTGTGATAGAGGAGGATGCGAAGGATAAGGTGAGATGGAGGGAGATGAACTGCCTAAAGGGAGCAGCAGAAAGAAGACAGTTCATTTTGATTAGTGGTGTTTTATATTTTGTCAAGCAATGTGGACTTTATTGTGTTATACTACAAAATATGCTCATTATCCCCACGTGAGGGGATAAAATACAAACAAACTGTAACTAACAACTTTCTGGTCCAACAGGAATTTTAGTTTATAGTTATCAGGTCCAACTAATCCCAAATAGCTAGGAGAAATTAAAATCACATCGCAAAGAAAAGATCTCTGGATCTAAGGAGCTTAAAATACTGTGCAACTTTCAAACTTTGTGACCTCTGACCTCTCATGTTGACTGCGCCACCAAATAGCGGTAGCTTTCCTGCAGACTTCGCACATAAATGTTGAAATGATCAGACATATCGTCAAAAACCACGCTTCAGTTTTAATCGGCATGTCTTAATTAGAGGGGCTAACCCAGAGCCCTTCTCTAACACTTCAGATAAGTTTTAATGCTAATGGGTTGCACTTAATCAGGACTTTTACTTGTGACACATGTACTGTACCTTATGGTTAAGTGGTTGAGAGCTGAGCAGACGCGTTGTATTTGCGCTGTGGCTCTGGGGCCAGCTGATTCTCTTGCTGTTTAGGATTGTTATTGAGTATCCATCATTGGGTAGCAGGCTAAATAACATCCGAGGGATTTTTACCGACACGCCACGGAATGTACGCGAAGCAGCGAGGCTAAACACGGACATTTTCAACACAGCTAGCTGCCAGTCAGCTATGTCCAAGATGTAGTAGAAAAATTAAGCATTTCCCTTCTAGTCTAGTTTCACTAGGAAGGTAAGCTCCGGGCTAACCTAGCTTCACATGCTATAGCTAGCTAAGGACCTGCTGTAGCTAGCAGGAAGAACGAGAGGAAGCGAGAGTTTGAAATCTGAACGTACTTCCTTGTTGGCACCGCCACACTTATTTTCTTTAGTTTATAAGGAATGAGGGTTTTAAGCCTGTTACACGTATAACACGGCTTAATAGATGCAAGGCTTAAATCATAACAATTTTAAATATGAAAACGAATTAGACCTTCGTATAATTTTGATTTAGCTGGCGACAGCCGTGTATCTTCGCATCGAGCGCCCGGATAGCTCAGTCGGTAGAGCATCAGACTTTTAATCTGAGGGTCCAGGGTTCAAGTCCCTGTTCGGGCGTCAATTTTTGTTTCCAGTTTTCAAACTACTCAAAATACATACCAACCCTGCTGACATAATAGCGGCGTTCTTTATCCTGTAAGGGGGCAAACGCGCGGAGAAGCTCGCTTTAAAAAAATGAATGCAATGTAGCTGATTTCCACTAAGGTGTAATTCTTGACTTTAAAAACTGTACAGTCTCTTGACAAAATAAGTCACAATTTAATCACCACCACAAATGTCACCCTCAGGAAAAAAAGAGCTCTTTCATTTGTAAAAACTTTCATGTGAAGTGAAACTACACTTTCTTTCATTTTTAAGGGTTTTAGTATCAGGAAGTAATGAAAACTTAATTGAATCCTTAATAAGTTATCTAGGTCACAAGATGACATATTACACACTGATTCATTATTAGCCAATTAAATGCAAATCGGAAAGCGTGAGCACCTCTGTAAAAGAAGAAGCTTTGGCAGTTTGGAGCATTTAAGTATGTTAACATAATACCAAGCAGCAAATGTTGATCTGGGAAATCAGTTAAATCAGTCTGGGAAGGGTTATAAAGCAGTTTGAACACAGTTTGAAGTCAGTCATTCTATAGTGAGAAAGTTGTTGTCTTCACCAAGAGTCATCGTCCCAGCAAATTCAATGCAACTGTGCAATGTAACAAAAGGACTGAACATCTATCACTTGTTTGGAGGAGTTAAAGAAACCTCCAGAAGTCTTCTGGAACAATTTCCTTTGGACATGTCTACTTTCATGCCTGGCCATAATGCACAGCACCATGTTTGATGAAAACCAAAAACACAGCATATCAACACAGCCACCTCAAACCAACTGGAGATGTATATAAATGAAACGAATGCCTCCAATCTCATAGCTGAAGCAATGTTGTAAAGAAACAAGTGGGCCAAAATGCCTCGATTACTTCATGTTTTTGCTGCAAAAACTGGTTCAAAACCTGTTGAATGACAGGGTGTGTTTAGTTTTTCACACTGCTGCTGCTGCTTTTTGGCTTAGTAAGAAAATTAATTAGATCCTGCTAGGGAGCGGGTGATTTATTTTATTAAGTCCTGATACATAAAACCTATTTAAAGGGTAATTTCTTTTTCACATGATTCCTGAATTTTGATTTGTGTTTTCTTACTAATGAACAGAGCTCTGTTGGTGTTTCTGCCTAATCAGCCCCCTTTACTTTGATTATATTTAGTAAAATGCACATTACAATTATGGAAAAATAATGATTCCATTTTATTTTTTTATTATTAGAACATATACCATTTAATATATTGTATATATGACCTAAGTATAGAATTTGATTGTTTTACAATACACATTTAGAACTAGCCACAAAATAAAAATATCCGATTTACAAACAAAGCAGCATCCAAAAGAAAGAAATGGATGAATGAATAAATAAATAAATACTTTGGCATAAATGTTACAATAAATTAAAACAGGCTTTCTGACAGCATTTAGCATTCACAAAGAAACACCAAGATTAAATGCAGCTCATCCTACCACACCCTTGAAACAACACTTGAAAGTTTTAGGCTTTAAATGATGAGTATACGTCTGTCGAATCTGCCAAAAAACTAAAAAATGCACTTTTAAAAATCTGCCATACGTATAACTTCCATTCTCAGCTCTCTGCTTAAACCATCCTCACACTGAATAATCATATGATCTCTGCTTTTCAGCTAAAATTAACATTTAAAACAGGCACCGGACGATACAGGACAACACAAGGAAAAAAAATCAAGATGAGTAATCACAATTTACAAAGTTCACACTTGGTTCACTGGATAATGAAAAAAAAAGAAGAAGTTAATCAATCCAAGCTTGTTTCTTTACACGAATCTCCGCTAAGACATCAATCGGTAACATAAATGTCAGATTATGATTTTATAAGATAATTTATTTCCAATAATTCAAACACATTTTCTTCTCCCGGTACACCACAGTTAACATACATAACAAATAAAGACATACTATTTGGCAGACGAGGCAGTTCAAGAACACTGGAAACACTGTTGGCTAAACCAATAACGTGGTGCTAAAAGCTGAATTATCCTGAACACTGTGTGTGAAACGAAACTGGACTGGGTTACACTTTGGGCTCCAAGCCAGTGTCCTGAATCAGTCTGTAAAAATTACTTTTGCTTTAGGGTGTAAAGCATATTAAAAGTCTGCAGACATTCTTTCCTTCGTTAGAATAAGAGGATAACTGTATCTCTTTAATAGCTCTATCTTGTAGACGAAAAATAATCAATATAAACTATTATCACAATGTATTTTTCCCATAAATATAGTCTCTGGTTGAATTCAGTTCTGCTTTTTGGTTTGAAGTGTGCAGCTAAAACCATCTTTATCTGAAAATATTAAGTGCACTCGGACTAAAGTTGACACTTGAGGGATTTCTGAGAAAAAAAGAGAAATATTTGGAAATTAAACAGCTTTACATTTGTTTTCACTTCAACGTACTGACAAATGTTAAGCGTAATATTCTCACACACCTGCCGACAACACAAACAACATCGAATAACGTAGAGGATATAGTCAGTAAGGCTCATAGCAGCAAAATGATTGTAAAGGCTTCATGTATGTGTGAGAGCGTGCGTTCTTCTCTTGTGCTGCTACAGCCGGTCACACTTTGCTCGGAAGGAAAAGAAGACAAACAGCACAATCACTTGTTCTCTATCAGCATCTGCACCTTGCACACAAGATCTCTGGCCAGGGTCAAAATCTGCTTGATGTTGTGACGCTCTGCCATTTCTGAAAGGCACAAACAAACAACAGCTTGAACATTTTTACCCACGCAAGATTGCACAGATCGTCTCTGTAATTGTCCGTATCCGTGATCCTGTAACTTTTTGAAAACATGCTCAGAAAACTGTTTACACAGACTTTACACTCGCAGTCATCCATAACAGACTCTGCATTTCATGCTCTAATTAAAAGTTTTTGTGGACATGACATTGTAAGTTCATGCTGGCAAGCAAATAATATCTCTGACTCATTTACATAATTGTATTCAGCTGCTCATAATTCAGTCTAAAGCTATTCTTACCTGAAAATTAGCCTCACTCCTCCTTAACCCTGGCTATATATATATATTTTTTAATTAAATTTTCACCTGAAAATATGTCAGTAACACCTACAAAACTACGAGGGCACGATGCCAGCCTTGCTCTCTGTGGATAAGGCAAACCTGTGGGAGCGTTTTGAAATACAATATGAATCTTTAGTGAGCCAGAGTAGGAGTTGGAAACTATTTACTGTCAGTAAATAATGTTTTAAACCTCAAGAGGGAGCAATCCAGTCTCAAGATTCATTGTTTTAGCTGCAGAAGTTTATATTGAGCAGTGTTGCTCTGTTGTGGGACTTACTGCCCTTGCATGAATGTACATGGACAGTCTGAGGGCAGTGAAAGCCCAGCAGGCACAGAACAGAGCAGGCATCAAGGACAAAGCACTGATTAAGTCAAACACAATGTGTAAAAGACAATCTCAGGTAGAGGAGTGCTGCATTAGTAACTGTAGGCAGTGTGCAACAATCTCAATAACAGTGCCTATATTTGATTTGCCATTTGGATGTGTAAAAGGAGATATCAGCTGTGGCATCAGTTGATGTGTGCTGGCACTGGAATCAGCTGCTGTCACTGGGATTTTGGGCTGAGTGTAAGTTCATCGCCTGCCTGAATGTTCTGCTCCACAGAAATGGAGCAAAAACATGCTACAGCTATTTTAGTCAAAGCAGCACTCTGAGGCTTATTCACTGAATATCACGCTTGGCAAGCCTCGAAAAATGATGCGTGGTTTCAAATACTGCCTGGTCCTGATACAGGGACCTGGAGGGGTGAAAAGGTTGAGTCTCACAAGAATCTCTCCTGTTAAAACATGAGACACGAGACTTCAGCATGAGACAAACAGGTTTTTGAAAACTGGATGGGAGTTTTCAAAAATCTAATCTATTGTATGAGTCAGGCTGTTAAAATGGTGATCTCTATAATGTAGCTGCTTCTTCAGTGTCTTTAAGATACAGAGCTAAAATTAATCTGCTGTAGTATACAGGCTGAATAGTAATACAACAACAAATAGATTAACTTTAATAAGTAAAATATCAAACATAAGGCTAGAGGGCCAGAATTGGCCCAGCAAAGACTTAAATTTGGTCGACTGGACGGTTCTGGAAAATGTGAAGGAAGGCATAAATTTTCTACTCCTTGATTTTTATGAAATGCGTGGTATGGCTATGGTACCAATGTGAAAATCCTACAATGCTTCGAGTTATTGAGTTCAGAGAGTTGGATGTCCAGACTGCAATGACTGCGTGCCCGACGGGCTGATGACAATAAAAACTTTATATTTCATAATTATAGGACAGGCTGGGAAATAAGCTACTGGAGGCTTTTCTGTAATTTTACACATTTATCATGTAGAAACACTAAATGTTGAAATTGGAGTTCTTTTTCATATATTAAGACATCTCAGGGATTAAATGTTTAATTTAATGTCTTTACACTGGCAGAAATTGAAGTTTCCCTGTCTGGAGGATAAGAAAAATAATCTATCTGCAGTATTAGAACAAGGCAAAACAGAGTAATGTAATTAGAGTAGCATAATGTTAATATAAAACCTCATTAAACCAGATAGTTACTAGATTAATGGTGGTTTTGAAACTCTTCTTGTTTTATTGTGCCAAATAGTCTTGCACAGCAATGTATATGTGAACTTCAGCTTCAAGGCTTTACCGTTGAAGAACTTAATGATGTCAGTGAAGTCCATGTTATTCTCCAGGATGATGTCCCTGTACACCTCCACCAGCGCCAGTGCAATGAAGAGGACAAAGTGACTGGAAGAGACATGCTTTGCTGCCCAGATGGTTTCCCAGACTGCAAACACGTCATCATAGACCAGCTCTGCAAGACAAAGCGCCCAAACAAAAGCTGAACTGCAGCGGCGTTCGGAGGTTTGGGTGGGAGGTGAGTTCGTGGAGCTTTCAGTGGATAGAGGAGACGATGCAGATACAGCAAATACGATAATAGAAAGTACAGCTAAACTATGGCAAACCCTCATTCTAAAGTACTGTGAATCGTAAATCCATTGCATGAATGATCGTTAAATGATCATTCATGCAAAATCTCCTCCAGCTGAATCTGCTGCTAACAAGCTGGCAGATTGTTTGGTATTTTATCCACAAGCAAGGCTTAAAGAGAGGAATCTTCTCTAATTAGTGCAAACTGTGTCAGGCTATGCTGTCACTTTACCTCGCTTGAAGTCTAGGAGAAACCAGCGGTAGCAGAAATAGAAGTGGGTGTAGTCTCCATTCTGGTGCATTAGCTCAAACAGCTCACAATCCAGGATCTATACCGAGAGACGGTCAAAGTAAATTAAATAATTATAAATAAAATTAAGACAGCAATTGTGTGAGAAAAAAGTGAAGAAGAAATGGGGGTTTGTAGATGCTGTGTGACCTGGATTAGTGAGCGCATGTTTGCAAAGTGAGTGTCCATAGCTCCTCCGTGTGGAAAGTTTTGATTCATTCTCTTCATGAGTTCAGTGAAACAGCTGAAAGCCATGGCCTCTGACAGGACAGAGAGAGGAAGCGGGAGTGAAAAATCGAGTGGGCAAACTCTTCTCTGCTGTTACATCAAATACTGTAAAAATACACCAAGTGTCAAAGAGGAGGGAAAATAAATAGTGAGTCAGTGTGTTGACTCACCATCATCCAGAATGACTAGAAGTGGAGCCAGCAGGTCGCACATTCCCTGCACGTAACCGATGTCAAGGTGCCTCCAGATATAGCTGTGAATATACAACCAAGAGAAGTGAACTTGACTTGGCTGCTTTTCTCTCTGAGCTACACTAATGTCAACAGCTGTTTCCACACTCAAGTTGTAACATATAATATTAACTGTTTTTAGGACAACTACAGTACTCTGCAAAAATCTTGATCTGCATTCCATTTCTTCATATATTTTTCTCGGAAATTGGGGAATAGGTGGAGATTTATCGAAATGTGGAAATACAGTATATACAGCACAGCCTGAACTCTCTTAGGCAACCTGTTTTGTAATTTTTTAAGTAGCCTTCAGGAATAGTTCTCCAGGCTTCTTAAAAGACATTCAAGCTCTTCTTTGGATGTTTGCTGCCTTTTATTCTGTTTTCAACATGATACCAATGATTCAGTAATGTTAGGTCTGGGCTCTGATAGTAGCCCGCTGTGTGTTTTTCTATCTAGGTATGCTTTTACTGCATCGGCAGTATGCTTCGGATCACTGTCGTGATGAAAAATGAAGCCACTGCAAATCAAATACTTTCCAGTTGGTATTTTTGGTGAATTATAAACTGATGGTACTTTTCTGTGTTCATGATTCCATCAGTTTTTCACAATTTCATAATTCCAGCACCACTGGCCGAACTATGAAAAGCCCTTCTACCTTTTTTTACAGAAGGCTGTAGACACTCACTGTTCTACCTCTCTCCCGACCTCCTCTGCATATACTGACGACAATTTGAACCAATAATTTCAAATTTCAAATCTCTCCATCAGACCTGTTGCCACTGATTTTCAGTCCAGTGAATGATTCTTAGGTCAGTGTGAAATATCTTAACAAACCAAAAAAATAGAACTCAAGAAAAAAAAAGTTCGGGCTTCTTTGGAGCAAAATATAAAGAAATGATGTGTGACTCAAGACTTTCGCACAGTACTGTATGTTTTTCCTCCAAAACGTGTTTGTAATTAGGGCTGCTAAAACTGTAAATATATATGTTTTGTATAAGAAGGGCTTAGAAAGGTGTAGATGAGTGGCTCATCATGAGTGAAGGCATAAAGAAAATAAAGATGCAATCTGCTGTTTAAGAAAATGTCTTTTTTGTGTGTTTTCTTATTTTCAACTAGTTACAAGAAAGAAAAAAAAAGTTAGGCATGTACAATAGAAGCAGACATAAAAACTAGAAAATGCAACTGGAGGGAGAAAGAATGTGTAGCCTGTTAGCTCAACTGGCTATAAAAACATTTCAGATCAAAGTCATTTCTGCTGCACTGTTGGATTTTCTTTCCTTGCGTAACATCTTAGTGTTGTGATCACTTGTATTCCTGGCTTCGTAGTGTTATTGTGTCGGAAAATTGACAAAGGAAGCTCTCAATTGAATCTGAGTGAGTCATTCAGCTCTTGAAAAAAAGAATTGCCTGCTGCTTCGTCTTATTGGTGTTTGTCTTTTCACGGTGTTTAAATATGATCACAGTTATATATGACGTTTGTAGAGCATTTATGTGGTTTATTTAAGCCTAAACAGAGACAAATCCTTCACTCTTCTTCTATATCTTTTTCACCGTAAGAGCTCTCTTCAGGAGTAAAAGGCTTAACAAATGACATCACTTTTTTCAAGATTTTGTCAAATCTTAACAGCCAATAATGACGAGAAACTCACGTTTCCTTTCCATTTTCCTTTTATTAACCTTGAGTGTTGCTCTCAGTGTTTTACCTGCACATGATGTTGCGTAGTTTCTCCAGGTTGGCAGGAGTAAAGTACCAGTAGTTTCTATCACAGCGCTGGACGTCCTTTTCAATGCGGTGCAGATTCAGTGTATACAGGTCCAAAAGTTCTTGCTGAAATAGATGAAATGATACTTATGTTTAAAACATAGTTACGGTCATTTGAGTTTATTTAATGTAAATTAATTTCATATGATATTGTCATACAGAGAAAGGACTCCCAGTTGACACTTGAGAGGTTACTTGGTTCTTTGTGTTTTCAGATGCAGCCAGAGAGTCAAAGGGAGGGTAAAGGCTCTCCATCTCCGGCTCCGACAGGTTGGACTCTGTGCCCTCTGGACTGAGCTTTCTTTGTTCCTCCTTCTGCCTGAGCTCTACGTGAGGGGGCGAGTTCTCAGAGGAAGACGAGGTTTCACAATGTCCTTTCCTGCTCCAAGGCACCATGGAAACTTTGGCTTTGGGGATCTCCTCCATTTCTATGGCTGAGGGAGACTCATCTGACTCAGTCATGATGTGAGGCTCATCTTTCTGAGTGGCACTGTAGGCTTCTCTTGCTTTCACCACTCTGGTGTCTGCTGAGAGAGTGAGATTTTCCATTTCAGGAGCTCCGGGACCTTTGAATATTTTCTCTTTCCCTCCTGTTACTAAAACCTCTTTACTCGTCTTTGATTCGTCCACTTCCTCCATCTTTTCCACATTCGCTTCTTCGGGTTTCAATGCTTTTGCCGCTTCTAGTGTCTCTAAAGATTGGTTACCTTTAATGTTCCTATCGAGGCTTTTATCTTCAAGCTTTGTCCCCGCTGCTTTAACAGCTTGTGACTCCTCGATATTATCTTTCATTTCACGCTTTAAACTCGTATTTTTCGTGTCTATTTTATCACCTGTTTCTGCAGCATGTTTTGAAGTTTTGGTCACATCGGAGGCTTTCTCTTTCTCCACCCTTTTGTCCTTCACTTCACCTTCCACCTGGCCGTCCTTTTCCAATGACTGACCTTCGCTCTCTCCTCCTGCAGGCTTGACAGAGCTCTGTGACGCCTGAGGGACAGCTGCAGGTCTCGGGGTTGTATCTTGTGCAGCGCTGTCCTCTGTGCTGAAGGAGCCGTCCGACAGGCCAGAGGTGATGGAGAAGTTGCGAGAGGAAGGATGTCCAGAGTCAGGAGAGCTCGTCCCGTTCTGCAGAGCTCCATTGGGCAGCTTAGGCACCTGTTTGGTTTCTCCATTCTTGGGCTCCATCTCAATCTGGTCCACCTCCTCTACAGACTCAAACACCTGAAAGAACAAGCCAAAGGGAAGCAGGCTACTCCAAGGGAAGGGTTGGGAGGATGTAAAGAACTAGCAGGAGAGAAGGTAGCAGTGAGGAGTTTTGGTTCAAAATGCTGAGATCAAACGGACAGAGCGACAGAAATGGATGATGGAAATGCAACATTATCTTCACCATCTTTAAAAGACCAAAAGACTAATTTGACATCCAAATATTGCTGAGTTTGTGATACCTGTGTGCTGCTGCTGGAATCACTCTGCAGGCGAGCCAAACTCTGCCTGTCTGAGCTCTGGGAGGACTGTGATCGGCATGTGTGGGAAAAAGAGTATAAAAAAGAACAATTCAAGCTCCAAAAGTGTAAAACTGGCATTAATGTTTAATTCTCCATCTTCTCTGTCATTGTACCTGGGTGAATTACTAATTTTGGTCACAACATACACTGGTCTACACTGAAGGTTACTGTGTTTTTCCTTTGAGTCTGCATGTGTACGCGTTGCTGTTTTACCTCATTGCTCACAGTTGAATCGTGATGCTTCATCTTCTGACTGTAACTGTCCATGCTTGCACCTGAGGAGCACTTCGCCAAAGCCGCAGCGTGCTGCTCCTTCTCTCGCTGGCGGACAATCTCCTCACAGCTGAGCCACTCCTCCATGGTCTGCTGGTAGCACACTCTGACCTGATCATCCACCTGCATGAAAAAGTAAAGGATGAAGGATAAGCGTTTAGGTGGAAAAGGCTTCTGGTTCAAAACCATAAGCATAGAAACTACAAACCTCCTTTCTCTCAGCCTCTGACATACCAAACTGGTAATGACCCAGCAGGAAAGGCCACACCTCTTTCCTCAGTGATGGGTCCACCCCACCGAAGTACACCAGGCGCAGCAGCTCCTGCTCCTTGTAGGCCTAAAGAAACAAGACAGGCAGTTGATTAACTGCATATATAAATAGTTCATCACTGCTTCAAAACAACAGAGGCCACAGGCTGCTGGTGCTGAAATAGTTACTTCAGTGTCAACTGGTTTATTAAGAACAATCCAGTTTGCAGTGCTTGGCTAATAAACTATTCTTTTATTTTTAATTCAGACTCTCTTTGACTCCAGCAAATATAACAATGTTGAAAATAACTTGAAGACAAGGAGTTTGAGATTTATAGAGCCATTAGTCGCCTGTCATGCACACTGTCGAGAGACTAATAGTGTGAACCACTTTTTAGGAGAGGATTGATATTAATATGAAGACTGACTGAGTGATGGGGGATGCTGCTTGTGTGTGTGAACAGAAAAAAGGTAATATTAAGTTTGTGTTGCAGTAAAGGGATGTCAGAGGTGCTTACTGTGCAGTCTTTGAGGAAAGTCTGCCAAACGTCTGCAGTGAGGCCTCCGGAGGCGGCACAGGGCACGTCGGGCGCCACAATGGTGTGATTTACGAGAGCTGAGAGGTGCGTACGCACTGTAGAAAGGTGACGGCAGTATGCCAGCCCTGGTTGACAATGCAGTTTGTTATTGAAGTAGCTATAGCACGGCATAAAATACATTTTCAAATTGAATGTGAAGGGATTTTTCAGGGTATACACTATGGCTCAGTCACACTAGAGTAAAAATAGGACGGCAACCTCGCTGTGATGAGGAACAATCAGTGGTTGACCGGTGAACGCATTTAATTTCTTTGCTGTTAGTGACCGGCTGCAAAGACTTGCGGCGATGCCCAGAGGTTGAGCTTGCAGCTTTTAATTGCAAAGTGATTGCACAGGTCACTGCGTAGGAGGCAAGCTGTGTCCTAACAATCGTAGTCTGATTCAGTGAGTAGTTTTCTCATATGAATTTGTGATTTCTGCTGATTTATGAGTGAAGGTCATTACGCACCGAGTGTGGTGCAAAAAAGGGGCATGAAACTCAGAATTGTAAGATCCAAACCTGTTGTGTAATGTATAGACATACCGAACACAAAATTCGCCCTCAAAAGATGTGAAAAAAATGAAGTCAACATCGTCATGCAACCATCTTTTTCCCTAGTGTGACTGCAGCATTAAGCATTTACATACAGCCATAAAATGCCCTGGAGATGATCTGATACTTCATGTTGTCACATAGCAGCTTCAGAGGAGTCCTGCAGAAAGACACAACCCACATTAGTATGCAGAGAAAACACAGACAGCTATACACTATCATTAGACCAATTATTAAGTGCAGGTAATTCATATTCTCTCGTATATATGATATCCTCTATCTAATGTAGAGTTCATTACTGTGTCTGGGCTGACCTTTTATAAAATGATAAACTGTTATGCTGCCATATAGAACAAATTAGCCAGCAGCCTGTCTTCTTTCCACAGCTCTCTACCATTTTATCTGCACAGCTTATCACCAATTCTCCCAACACGTTCTCATTTCACTGAGGTAAATGTCACACAATTGTCCTCTGGGTAATTGCTGGGTTCTTGTATCTTGCTTCCATCCCCGGTTTCCTCTGTATTGCAGAGGTTGTCAGGTGCGTCAGGTGAATCACAGCAGCCTTCAGGAGCTTCACAGTTCCCCGGTCGTAACACAGCTCTGTCTATCTTGGGGCGTGTTTTATCTCTCACCTCTCATGGTTGCACCCCTTGGGTGTCGCCGCTTCAGAGAAGCTCCCCTGAGAGCAGGAGGAACACGAGGACTTCCTGAGAGTGGGATGCCACATCTTAGCTCCCGGATCCATCAGATCTGGAGGAGTCACTGCAGCACGCACACAAACACGCGCCATCATAATCACTTTAGAGCAGCATACTGCTGAGGCTTTCGAGAACAGTTATATTTGCACTTTGCAATATTTTTGCTGAAACACAATTATGCTGATCACTAGTGACCTGCTTATGCTCGATTCCTGTAAGAGCAAAGAAAAGGCGCACAAACAGAAGCATTTACGATACTATGATAATCGTGAAGAATGAAGCCATCGTGTTTGATTACATTAATATAGGGAGGAAGTTCAATTAAGCAAGCGCCTTTCTCAATTCGGTTGCCATGTTTGATTAGTTGTCCACTGTTCGCCTGATTAAAGGCTATTGTGTCGTGGTGCAGTAAAAGAGGTGTGAAGCATTGTGGCTTTATTGACACGGCACACCAATGAACATTTCCTGAGGCACAGGACAGGGCAGGAGGATATTAGACGCAAGGAATTAAAGCCAGGCAAAGCTGACAGATGGACAGACGAGCCAAAGTGTGACAGTGTTACAGCTGCTTCCTGTGAGTGAGGGGGATTCTTCAGGACAGCTGCAGGACTGCCTGGGTACGACCAGGGTCCCTGTTTTGGTAGGGCACTTTCCAATCGGTTGGAAGGACAGGGATGAAGTCAGATGGGGAGGATGAGTTACAGTCACTGTAACAAACAATCGGCAACATTTTTATCAAAATGCAACAGCAGGGAGAAGCCCCTGGGCCCTGCTTATGTCTGGTGACTCACCAAATTCTGACTGACTGTTTGGAAAGAGGATTCGGAAGACATAGTCCGTGGCCTCGTCCTCCTCCTTATCGGAGACCGAGTCTGAGGATCCAGATCCCTGAGGAACCCTCTTTCGTAGCTTAGGAAACACCTTTCCCTGCAACAAGAAAAATAACTAATGGCAATGACAAATATGCTGAACCGCTAAAGCCCAGAAAAGCCACCCCTGCGAAGATGAACCTGTTTAGTGTCTGTATGATTAAGCCTATTAATAGTGGCTGAACATGCGTGGGTGGTTCTCTTTATTCAGTTCAGTTAAAGAAACATTAACAAAGCCATTCAAGGTCTAAGCAGACACTAATCCACACTCGTTCACCAGTATCTCTCCACACAATGCTTTAAAGAGGCTGTGCATCCATTTCTTTCAAATCCCAATGTCTTTTCTTTATTGATTTATTGATCAGAGGAGACTGAAGCACACTTTAGCTCTTTTGTGTGGAAGAAAACTAGAATAAATGATGCGTGCTGTGGGAGAGCCCTCCGTGCTGACCTTTCCCCTCTGCAACCAGAGTGGAGGATCAAGCTGGCCGTGGGGAAGGAGGCCATTCTCAAGGCAGGAGAGGAACTGGAGCAAATGACCTCCTTTAGGGAAGCGAAGTGGAGGTCTTTGGATCCCGTCTTGACTGACCAGCACTGCCGTCCCCCCACTGTCCACTACGAGGTAAACAGCAGATGTAACAGATCAACAGTAATAACCTGCAAACCCAGAGTTACAGTAGTGATACAATTTCACCCACCTTGCTGATGACAATGCAAATAAACTATCTCCTCTAGAGGGATTGTCATGGCATAGTCCCAGTAAACGCTGAAAAATATGGAGACAAAATGCTGTGACCCAGACTAGTCTAACCACTGGATACTAGATAACAGCGACACACAAACCCATTGTAAATATTTATGTAAATCAAATATTTTACAGCTGCCAGAAAAAATTAGTTGGAACAATCAATTCATTTGGAGAGAGAAAACACCTCACGGGTATGACATGATTTACGAGTTCGACAGGTGTCTTTTACAGTGTCTCAGTCAATAAACCATCTGCTGGATGCCGGTGTGTGAATATCAGCCTCATCAGATCAGCACCATTTATTCAGTGAGCCCTTGAGCAGCGCACAAACACACTGCATTATTCAGTAACAGCCGAGTGTTAGACAAACAACACAGTGGAGAAGAAATAATGTGCTGCTTACGCGTCTGTGTGGAGGCAATTTACATGCTAAGATCAATCAATCAAATCTTTTTTAAAAATATATAAGTAACAAGTTTTAATACACATAAAGAACAAATAAACATGAAGTCATTGAAAGTTATCCTCTTCACACGAGAAAAGAAACAAAACCAAATGTTGAACATTTCCTGTTTGAAAAGGAGTATTAATCCCTACCCAGCTCATCTTATATATCTGTTCACAATCTAATGCAGATATATGCTATAAATAAATATGCCTGTCTAATACACAGATTCATGTTATTTTAATATATATGTTTTTATAAACAGATCTATAATTATTTAACTACACCTATACAAAATTATTACTTTGTATACTATAGTTGTTACTATAGTTAAAATAATTATAATGACATATTAAAGTATGTGTTACTATAGAAGTTGGTATTATAAAAGTATTTCCAACATTTTACATAATGATTCAGAGTTATTTTTACAGATAGGTAAATTTGCACCTGCGTTCATACTCCAAGTCTCCCACAGAGCCGTTCATGAGCTGATTGGGCGTCCACTTTAGTGTCATGAGTTCAGCAGTCTGGTGCAGAGACAGGTAACCTGGAATAGCCTCCATATCGTCCCTCTGAAAGAGCCACAGGGATTCAACTGAGGTTATGTTTGTAGGTAATAATAAATAAATGTAATAAATAATGCAAATTTTATCCACCGTTTACCCTGATAACACATAAAAGCAAAGCATTTATTAGTTTTATGTGTAAAAGACAAAAAAAAAAGAAGGAAGTGAAGATGTGTGCATTCACATTATATCACAGTGATGTGAGAAAAAATCTGCTAGAGTGCTTTGATGACAACATAATATGTAGAGCAGCTTTTATCCAGGACGTCAATGTGACAGGATATACGTCAGGTTTTAAAGATTTTATCTCACAGCTATATAAATGCTGAAGTGGATCGAGACGGTTACCGGTTGTACGAGCACGTTGTTCTTGCCAAACAGTAGTGTCGCCCTGTTGTTCTGATGCAGCGACTCCACATATTCACGAGCTGATGGTGAGGGGGAGGGGCGCTCATCCATGCTGCTGCTGGAGTGCCGCTTCTGGATCTAGACACACACACACACACACACACACACACAAAATATATAAAATCAGATCAAAAACTCATGACTTACATTTATTCATTCATGTGCACCAATGCAGTTTCAGTCTTTCCCGATGTCAAAAACCAGTCTGATTTTGCTTGGAGCACACAAACGCATCCGTAAGCACCGCGGCGTACAGGACAGGCCAAGTTGACCTGGTTTGCTCTTAACTTGGCAACTAAATAAATGTGATTGTCTGCAATACACTCTGTTCTTTCTCCTGGGACGCACTGAGCTCCACTCATTGCAGCAATCTTAGCGAGGCCTCCAGACAGATAAACAGCATCTCAGAAGGGAATGTAACTGATAGTCTGCCGAAGCTAATATCAGCTCATATCTCAGCATAAATGGACACTATACATGTGCAGAGAAAAAACAAAAGAAGCCTGAAACTAACTCTGCTTTCACATCTGCTGAAAAATACAGCTTTTATTGTTTTGGATATGTTTACTTTAGAAATTTGCAGCAGAAAATGTGGTTTGACAGGAACAAATGATCATGAAATCTAAGTAAAACTTACATTTATGTTCTTTGGGAGCTGTAAAAGAAATACACAAGTGCAGACGCTTATAGATGGAGTGGAAATGGAAAGAGTTAATGAAAATACGTTCCTTGGATTGACAATAGAGGATAAAAACACCTGGAAATCTCATACATGACATATACGTAACAAAGGCTCAAGAAGCATTTCAGTACTGAGTGAACTGGACCACAAACCACTCCATGTTCTCTACTCTCCACTGGTTTTAGCATGTTTGAATTACTGTGCAGAGGTCTGGAGCTATACTTATCAATACTGCAAAAAAAAAAAAAGGCCATACAGATAATCCATAATACTGATTATAGAGATCATTTAAACCCACTATTCCCAAAATCAAATAAATTTATGAATTTCACTGATCTGAGTCATCGCAATAAACAGCCTAACTCCCTGACAATATTTTGTCTGGTTCCTTTAGCTCACCTGCCTCCATCTCCCCCTATCCCTAACATCCTCCTCTGTCAGATGATCCCACTGTATGTCCTCCTTCACTCCATCCATAAATCTTCTGTTTTCCTCCTGCCTGGAAGCTTGATATTCAACTTCTGTTTGTCCACCATTCCTCCTCTGCACATGTAAACACCATCTCAGCCTTGCTCACCCCTCTGATGTCCTCATGACCAGGATGGATCTCAACATCTTCAGCTCTACCACCTACAGCTCAGCCTCCTGACTTTGTCAGTGCTATCGTCTGTAAACCATACTTTTGTCACAAATCACTCCTGACACTCGTCTCCATCCACTCCACCTCTGTCCACTGTCTTCTTCACCTGTCTGGTCCATTGTCAGTTGCTTTGGATGGTTGACCCAGGATATTTAAACTATCCACCTTCACTGTTACACCTCTCACTGTCTCGCTCTCACTCACACACGCCTCTACTGACATTCATTGTTCTTCTCGCCAGAGCATACCTCCACCTTTCCAAGCTCTCTTCCACCTGAACCCTACTCTCACCATGGATCACAATGTCATCTGTAAACATCATAGTCCACAGAGACTCAAGCCTAACCTCATCTATCAGCCTGTCCATTTTCAAAATAAAGCGCTATAACACTTACACACAGCGCGGGCCTCTTAGTAGGAGAATCCTGCCTGCAGAGGCCACCGTGGATACGATGTCGTTGTACCAACTCGTCAGCAGACGGGTCTGTCCAGAAGTGGTCAGCTGTCTTCATCTTTGTGTATTCCAATGCACAAGGTCCAACTGTTGAACAGTTTTGTTAAGCAACAATCTCTATGAAAATCAAGCATTAAACACGTTGTGTAATAAATAAAAGACAGAAGAGTGACTTTATGCATGTCCAATCATCCAGGTAAGGAAATCCCAGAAAGCTGATCCTGTTGATACAATTAACAGCCTCAAGTTGCTGGGAAAGACTGAACTGAATTTATTAATCTATTTATTAATCTATCACTGGAAAGTATGAAGGTCCTTGCAATCCCTCAATGCAAGCCGGCTTGTCTAGAGTGTGTATATTGTCTAGGACCTGTCAAGCAGAAATCAACTGAAAAAAAGTAATAAAACAAAAATAAAATGGCAGAAACATTTTTTTTGCTGCTGTCCTGTCTTGTTATTCAGTTCAAGGCCCCTTAGATTGATACTTTGACTCTCTTGGTTGGGGATAAGGGGGCAAGCATGCAAGCATATTGATAGAGACAGGAAGCACTTCTGCCTCCAGTGAAAACAATTTTCACTGTTCACTGGTGGGAAACAACTGCGGGCATAGCATAGCAACACTATGCCTGTGTTGCTGCACAGCAGATGTCAACAGGTTAACATCTCAGCAGTTTAGCATTTGGTCACGAGGACAAGTTGAAAGAATATAAAGAGCAAAGAACAGTTTCCTTGCTTGGACAATGTGTAAATATAAGAAA